ACGTTCAAGTTATAGGTTGGTTTTCCTTTTTCTAAATGTGCGAAAATAATTTGACTCCTGAATTTATGCTAGCTGTCCTTTAACTGGACATCATTTGAGGGTTAACCACTAAAAATAATTTAATCATCAATTGAGAATGTTCGTTAGATAAAAATGTCATTTTATCACCTTAAATGTGCAAATAAGACACTTTAAAATGAAGCTCGAGTCCCTCATTATTAGAAGTCTAATAATTAGGAGTAAAAGATGACTGGGAATGCTAAATCATACAGAATATTTATCATAATCCCAGAGGAAACCTCTGGAAGCGGATTATTCTTCATGTTGAAAATCAGCAGAAAACTGCACATAATATTGAATTTCTTTGGGTTTTTGGGACAATTTGTACAATATTTTGTTGATTACACTACATTTAAACCAACTGTTACCAGTGTCCTCACACTTCCTTTTTTTTTTGCACTACTTCTACAAGAAAACCCCCCCAAAAAGCCCTTTCAAACATGTCCCTGATGATAAACGTGTATAAATTGGGTGATTGTTTAAGTTCTGATTAAACATTTTACTGAGAAGCAGATATTTTAGTCAGCATTCTAGATGCTCAAGTCAGACAGGTTTGAAATTATTCCTGTCATTTTAAGTTGATGCTGTTTGCCTCCAGAATATTAAAATGTTTTTTCTACTGCTGAGATTAAAATGGGTTTAATCACAGAGCAGCTTCTAACAATCTGTCTGCCAGCGAGATACACACGCGCGCGTGCACGCACACACACACACACGCAGCGCAACACCACAGAGTGAATGGATTTAAAAACTGATAATGCTGATTTTTTTAACCTCTTGCTTAAAATGAAAAAGTAAAGATCTTCATAGATTAAAGTAAAAATATGACCATTTAAACCCTTGAGCATTTCAAATCCTAAATCACGTTTAACTCACGTTAAACCAAAAATTTTTCTATAACCTGCAAAAAAATGATTTTCAAGTAGGTTTGAAAGTCTTGTTTTCAGTCATTTTTTCTCAATTTTTTTTTTTGTCTAAAAAGAAAAGGAAATTCTGATCTTGAAAAACGGCACTACTTGGAATGAATTAAATTTTGTGAAGTAATATCTAATTTTCTTGTTTTGAGTTGAAAGAAAATCTGCCATTGGAGTGCACAAAAGTTGCTTAGCTTGAATTTTTTAAACCAACAAAAGAATATATTGTTAGGTTTATTTGCTAGTTTTAAAGGTGTGGTTGACCATCAATTGATTAATTCTGATTATAATCAGTTACTCTGAGTTTTTAATGATTAATTCTGATTATAATCAGTTACTCTGAGTTTTTAATGCAGGTTGAACATGAAAATGGTCTCCTACACCTATCTCCAGCATTAGCATCTGATAGAATAGATGGTGAAACTCTAGGATTTGAAAAGCCTGACAGATCTACATCACACTGTGAACTGGTCTCACCCACAGTGACTCACGACGGGAGAAGCTGTTGTTGCTTTAGCGTCCAGTGTCAGCAGAAAGTGTCTCTTTCAACAGAAGCTAACAGCTAGCATTAGCAACTCTAACACACGGCTAAAGCTCCTCCGGGCTTGTTTTTGTGGGGATAAAACATCCATGTCCCTGAGAAAACAGAGTCAGTGGTAGAGTTGCGTTGCTTTTATCCAATCTAAGTCAAGATGTCTAAATATCAGGAAATAAGACCACAGCCTCTCCTTTCAAGCACAGCTCTGATGACTTGGTCCTCCTGGGCTAGGGGTTTGTGGGCTTTTTTGTGCTTTGAGTTCTGCTTGTAAGGCATTCATTCCTACCAGAAACCACTGCAGATGTATTGAATTGTTCCACACCTTTAAGGATTCAAGCCAAGCAACTTTTGCATACCCCAATGGCATATTTTTATTTATTCAAAACAGTAAAATTTTATGGAGTCGATGTGGTGGCCTCATGGAGGTGGCCACCGGCTTGAACACTGTTGCTAACCATTTAAACTTTCTCCCTCTCCTGATAATAACATTTTACTTTCTTTGACCTTGGATGTGCTACTGCTAGTTTACCCGTTTAACTATAGATTCACTAGGATAAATACAATAAAGTTTATCTCTCACCAAATAGAATATTTACTAAGAAATCACAATGTAACCATAGAAACATTACTTGGTATATATGTTGTGTGTGTGCATGTGTGTGTGTGGGGGGGTGGGCTGATGTTAGTGTATGCGTGTCTGCTCTGTCTTCTCGATCCCCAGTGAGTCGTGGTGGATGGCTGCTTACGCCGGGGACACACCGGCCGCGGAAGCGCCGCGAAAATGGGACCGCCTTCATTCAGCGCCCTTGTTAAGCTATTCTATAGACCACATGGGCCGCCGAAGCGCCGCAAATCGCCTCGCGCTGGCGCGTGCCGGCGCTCCAGCCCGCGCCGTGCAGCGATCATTTCGGCTTCGGCTCTTTTTTTTTCGCGAGCCGCGGGTGAATCGCGTCAATTCTGGCAGGAAGTCAAACCTAGACATAAGAGGCAGGCCGGGAAAGTTAACAAAATAAAGCATTTCAAACTAAAATTCCGCAATAATCAAATGTGTTCGTAATCAGACACTGCAGAAAAACCACACGAACACACACACACATACACACATCAAACTTGTGTGCGTGTGTGACCACGTGAAGGGGGGTGTGGTTTTGGGTGTCTTTTCACCGGAGCAAACAGGACAGAGAGGCAGAAAGTCTGAGGCAAGCAGTTAGGATGGATGACTTTAAATTAATTATGGAAGTTGAGAAACACAAGGAGCTGTACGACCCCCGAAAAACCTGGTTATTTACGTACCCATTTCGGAAGAAACTGCAAGGATACAGCTGCAGAACTGGAGCTGGTTCCAAGAGATTCAACTGGCAGAAACAACTCATACCATAGGTTCACACACACACACACACACACAAACGTAGAGGAAAAGAGCTGAGAAAAGGCAGAGAGAAAATGGAGGACACCAAGTGTTTAAAAGAAAGACTACAGCTGAGCCGAGGCGCGCCTCGACTGGGGCGCGTCTGATCTGAACTGAGGAGCGGCGAGCAGCGGCCAAATTTCGTGAGCGATTCGCTTCTCGGCGCTTCCGCGGCCGGTGTGTCCCCGACGTTATACTGAGCCAGGATCCTCTGGAGGTTTCTTCCTGTTAAAAAGGAGTTTTCCTCCCCACTGTCACTAAATGCTTGCTTAGTATGAGGATTGCTGTAAAGTCACTGACACTAGTCAGTGACTTGATGCAATTTGCTGGGTTCCTTATATAGGAAACTTTTTTCTGATTGGCTTAATGAACTGACCTGTATTGGAATGTTTATTATGTGAAGTGCCTTGAGACGACTCTTGTCATGAGTTGGCGCTATATAAATAAACTTGAATTGAACTGAATAGAATTGTTGTATATACTTTATTTTTTTGACTAAAACAAGATAAAATCATTCTTTTTTTTACTTTCTTGGAAATCGGTTTTTGCAGTGAGTTCACCTGACACTGCCGACATCTTCTACAGAATGAATAAACCAATTTGTAGAAGATTTTTTGAAATGTTATATAAAATGGAGTTGGTATAAAAAGGAGAATGCAGGTCAAACCTTAACTGGGTCTTTCAGCAGTAATCAGCGACTTCAGCTGAACTAACATCACCACAGCTGGACAGCTTGTCAGCCTCACTGACATATATCTGAATGAATGAATGGCTCTAATCATGAATCTTGGGTTTGTGCATGTGTGTGTGTGTGTGTGTGTGTGTGTGTGTGTGTGTGTGCGAGCGTGTGTGTGTTTGTGTGTGTGTGTGTGTGTGTGTGTGTGTGTGTGTGTGTGTGTGTGTGTGCGTGCGTGCGAGCGTGTGTGTGTGTGTGTGTGTGTGTGTGTGTGTGTGTGTGTGCGTGTGTGTGTGTGTGTGCGTGTGGGAGGGTGAAGTCTCCCAGATGGCACCCAAAGGATTTTCCCTGATAGTTCTCCCTCTTCAGGAATTAGACCACTGGGTTTAGTTGCATCAACGGCTTTTGATGTAACAACCAAATCAAATCACTTCTATCGCTCGGAGAAAATCCACCACTGGAGGGTAAATACTGACAGATAAAACACACACACACACACACACACACACACACACACACACACACACACACACACACACACACACACACACACACAAAGAAATGTCTGGACTAAACATCAACACTGTTCTAGAAAATTCCTAAATTACCCAAACCTTCTTTCTAGGAGTCCCTGTGAGGTGTTGTTTACTTCAGCCTCTCATTCGCAACACCCAGGGCTGATAAATTAGGTCTCTAACACATTTTATATGTAGATGAGTGAAGCCTGACAAAATGACACCACTCAAGTGACAAGATTCTCTCTTCGTTTTAATATTAGATGTATCATCAATACTTCATATGCAAACCAACTTGAATTTGACAGCTTTGATGAATTACTCTCTTATGAGCGCAGAACTCTTTAAAACTGAGGACCGCCTGGTGGATTTGGTGAAATTTTTCCCCTGCTGTGTCTACAAATCACCTTGAATCACTTTAATGGCCACAGCCGTCTGTCTCCAGGAATGACAGTCCGGCCTCTGGGGGGGGGGGGGGGGGGGTCAGCGCTCAATTACTGCATTCAAATCTACAGCGAGCTGTCCGGGATCATTGCTGTAGCATATGTGAGCGGTGACGGGTGCTGACAACCTGTCCTGGAAGGGGTTATCACTGTCATCCCAAGTTATTTCTGCGCCTTCTTTTGAGACAGTTTTACCGGTATTCATGAGCATTTCACCCCGGAGTGAATGGGAAAGTAGCCTGGAGCACTTTCAAGGGACGTGGGTTACATTTTCTGGCGGCACTGCAGTACACAGCTCTTCAATCAGACGCCAAATGTATATTCACAGACCCATTTGCTGAACAAGGACACTCTGGACAGACTGTCTGGCATCAGGTCACATCCTCAACATAATGCACACAGAAAGCAATTTTCCAATTAAGGGAGAAAAGGGAAAACTGACTCACCATTTAATGAAGCAGAACTACTTGTTTTGGAGCTCAAATCCTTCAGGAGGTGCACTTGTTCCCTGAAACAGGAATTCCACTATTCTTCAGCCTTGTTGTTGTTTTCAGAAAGTGTTTTGTTATTGGCTGGATTTCTCTAGTTATATATTTTTTCCCGGAATTATGACCAATTCCTCAATTTTTTTTCCTACGATGTCAACCGATTAAAAAAAATGTTGTTTAAAAAAAAAGAATTCCAGAGTTGGATATCCCAAAAGGAATGTGAGACACTTTCCAAGAATCAGGATGCAAAATAGATTGGGAACTAAATAGATAATTCTAATGTGACAATTTAAAGTATTTAGTGTTTTAGAGGCAAAAAGTAAAACCCCAGTCACTGAGAGTGTGGGGGGTTTTCCACCAAAATGTCCTTAATGGCTTTACTTCCTCCTCAGGTTGTCCGGTTTTATCTCCTCAGGTGTGAGTCCAACAGGTTCTCCGTCTCTCTCTGATGTGGTTTTCCCATCCAGGAGTTAAAACTGTTGCTCCACAGCTGTTTGACCACAATCCCCCACCTCTAACACAGGTCACTGCCCACTTCCTCTTCCTGTTATTGTGGTTAGTCTTCGTCCACGGTGCTCCCTGCTACTGCTCCTTTTCCTGTCCTGGAATGAGGAGGGAGGGCAAAAGCGGGTGAGAAACGGACTCTGCGTAGATGTGTGGGACTTGTCGAAAAACAGAGGGAGGAAAAAGAGAAAAGAAAGCAGCAGAGAAACTGAGCTGGAGCGCATATGTCAGAAGAGCTCAAAGACGCACGGAGAGGCAGAGAAGCAGCCAGCTCATGCTCATGAAGCAGATGGAGTGAATGTGTGAGGGAGGAGGAGAGAGGGAGGGTGATGAGGGTGATGGAGAGTAAGGTGAGAGACTCCTCAGTCCATCTCAGAGAAAGAGAGAAAGATGGGGAGTGGAGGGGTGGGGATTTATTATTCATGTGTGTGAGATAAGGATTAAGTTAAACAGGTTATTGGGGATAATCCTCAGAGATTTCCCCACATGAGGCTAGTAAATATTTCAGAGCTGACTTTGGCGTCTGTGTGTGTGTGTGTGTGTGTGTGTGTGTGTGTGTGTGTGTGTGTGTGTGTGTGTGTGTGTGTGTATGTGTGTGTGTGTATGTGTATGTGTGTGTGTGTGTGTATCTGACGAAGAGATCTTGTCTAAGCCGTTAAATGAGATGAGAGGGATGCCTTGCCACACACACAAAGAGCTCCTATCTCCCCCGTCTCTTCGGGGGGAGTTGTTAGTCAGTAATTTAGCGAATTGGACAGAAAAGCCAGCTGTGTGTTTTTACATGAAACCTCTCCTGTGGCGACAGCAGTCCAGTCTATCTCTGTTCCTCCCATCTCTCCCTCCTCCCTTCACCGTCTCTCCTTGTTTGCTCTCACTTTTGTTATTTGCATTTTTCAGCTCAGCGCTCACATCTCTAATTCTAACCATAGTTTCTCAACATCTGGGATTGGTTTTGCCACTAAACATGCATCAAAATGTTCCTTAAATCCACGTCTCTGACTTATTTTGGACTGACATAATTTTGCGACCAGGAACTCTGTGTTCGTGTGGGGAAAAAAAGATAAATATTTCCTCTTAATCAGTTCAACACAGAGACCAGAAGTGATTGGATTCACATCTGATTCACGCACTGCAAAAAATTATTTTCAAGAAAGTAAAAAAGCCTTGTGTTTTGATTTTATTTTTTGTCTAAAATAAAACATTATCTATAAGGGGAGCCTAAGTCTCACCCATACATCCAGTCCAAGGGTTCCCTACTGCCAAAAAAAATAAATAAATAAAGAATGAGTTAATGTGCTGAAAAAAGATATATATTTCTGAACTTGTTCGGTATGTGCCATTGATTCAACATGTGATGTTTGTAAATTTCAAAGATATTTTGAAGCTAAGATTGTGCTTATTTTTGACAGGTGGCAAAAGTTACTTTAGGGTTTGAGTGACAAGATGTAGTGAATCGCTCGTCTCACCAAATGTATGTTGTCAAACCAAACAAGGAGGAGAAGAAGAAAAAAGTCGCTATGAGTTTAGCACGATTCTCATCTTTCTGGGATAAAAGGCAACACATTCTCACTCCCAGCGCGTCAAAAACAAACGCTTGGTCAGCCACCCTCCGCGTCAGACCCCTGATGCCAAAAGTGCCCTTTTTCGTCACTTATGTACGAAAAGGAGTTTTCCCCTTTTCTAACTGCAGTGCAGCATGAAACTGACGTGATGGGATGTCCGCTGATGCGGCACAGAACCAGCTCATTTAACCGCACCTAAACCTTAACGTTTTGCTATTTATAACCTTCCCCTCACCCTCATCCTCACCTTAACCCTCTTGCTACCTAAAACTTTACTCTCACTGTGATCAAGCGTTTGTTTCCCATGCATTCTGACTGTGAATTTTTGTATTTGCCGCCCAAGGGGAACGTTAGAACATACCATCTGGCGAGGGGGAGGTTACAAATATCCTCTACTTTTAACCTCCACCATGGTAGTTGAAACCTCCCCCTCGCGTTGCCTCGGTCCAAACCCAACCAATGACGAGGCGGCTCCCGCCGTTCTCTTCATAGAGCCAGCTTTTATGTTTGTGTGTTTATGTATTTAGCAGACGCTTTTGTCCAAAGGGACTTACAAGTGATAATCGGCATGTTGCCCTTGAGGCTAACAACCCGACTTAGAGTGACTGACCGACACATCACTAACGTGTTCGCTAGCAAGATGGTTAAGGTTAGGATGAGTGTGAGGGGAAGGTTAAATAATAAGAGGATAAGGTTAGGGTGAGATACAATGAGCTTGTTTGGTGCCCTGGTTGCGGCCATCCCATCGTGTCAGTTTTATGCTGCATTGGGATCTGCAGTCAGAAAAGGGAAAAAACCCTTTTCGCACATAAGTGACGAAAAAGGGCACTTTTGGCGTCAGGGGTCTGACGCGGAGGGTGGCTGACCAAGTGTTTGTTTTTGACGCGTTGGGAGTGAGAATGCAAAAGGGGTGCATTAATGCTGCAAAGGCAAGTCTGCAAAACAGACTCCTTTTTAAACACAAATACAGACACATAACTCTCTCCTCTCATCGACTATCATCCCTAGCCCACACCCCCTTCATGTGGGAATGCACATTGCCACAGTAAAAGAAAAGTGGTGTTCTGTTGCAAAATGTGAAAGCGCGTGATGAGTGGAAGACCCAGATAAATGTGTGGTGGTTCGGTGAGAAAGATCGTCCAATCGTTGGTTTCGGTCCAAGCCGTGTTACTGGGTGAGGTTTTTGGACAAACGTGAGAGAAATACTTCAATAAAATGTTTTTTTTTATTAATATACACGGCCTGTCCAAAAAAAGTCGCCATTTGGATTTACCTAAGCAAATAGAAAAGAGCCTCCTTTGGATCATTACTGCATGCACTTACGTTATTTTTGGGGGGGGGGGGTTTGTTGTTGTTTTTTTCAGTCAGAGTACCAATGATTCGACCGGAAAACTCCCCATTCTCTGCATAAACAGTATTACTTGAAGCATGTTAAATATTCTTAAATCTGAAGCAGATGAAGTGAGTGTGTGAGGGAGGAGGATTGGGGGTGGGGGTTGTGGTCTGAAAAAAAAATCTGCCAATAGGGTAAGAAAAATTTGCTTGGCTAGAATTGATAAAAACCTGCAAATTAATGTGTTAGACTTGTTTGAAAGGGGAAAAAAACACAAGAAAATCTGGTCATATTTAAGCATATTTACCTTATTTCTAGTACTGTTATTTTTGCAGAAAAATATTCCCCTATTAGTCTAAAAATAAGACAAAATGTCTAAAAACTAAGTTTTTTTTTTTTTTTTTACTTTCCTGAGAATCTGTTTTTGCAGTGTAATAAAGAAAGAAGACACTTCAGCACAGATATGAAGTTTCAGCAGCGGCAAAAGCCAGACAGGTCATTACTTTCCTTCTGTTCTAAGACTGAATATGTCCTATTGTGCACAGCTGCAAACAGCAGTCAGTGCTTTCAGACTGAAATTCATCTAATTCATATGCTGGTTCAAGTAATATAAAAGTCATTTAAATGTGTGTTTCTGTGTAAGTGACTTAACACAGTTTACTAGATTACTTGTTGTAGATGGAGTCCAGAACATTTGTGGAGAAAAAAAATGTTTTTATAGGACAAGAGTGTTAAGCTAACAATTATTCAGAGCACAATGGCTCCAATCTCCAAAATATTGTTTGGTACATCTTTACACGGCTGCTAGATTTTTGTTAGATTTGACCCCTGGATGCACTGGAGGACCTACATTTTGCTGCTGATGATGTTTATGCTTATTAAGAACCAGATAAGTGCATGTAAATAGTAGTTTTATTTTAAAAAAAATATAAAACAGTAAGGTTTATTGAGTAAAACCTGTATGAAATGCTATGGAATTTTTGAGACTTAAGCAGATGGAAGCAGTTCACTTTGGTCTTGATTGCACTCCAACTAGCTGTGAGCTCATCAATCTTGTCAGATATAAAATTATTTTTATTCTCTATAAATCTTACACAATAACACACTTCAAGTGGTTTAAATAACCGTCTAAGTGATTATTTTTTATAAAAGAAAAACATTATATCTCATAGGCTAATTTCTCTAAAACTCCTCCAGGAAACTAGTCAATATGAGCCACATTTGACATTGGCAAAAAGAAAATTTCCAAATGGCATTTTTCAGATCAGGGGAAGCAGAGAGCTAGTTTTCTGTTTTTTCTCGTCGGCTTTGTGCCGCGCTTGATCATTACTGCTGTTCCACCCTGCTGTTGCTTTCTCCATGTTGTTACAACTGACATCAACACAGTGTGGAGCACGGTGCAGAATTGTCAATGCAAATAAGCACTGCTCAAAAAAACAAGGGTTATCTGGCAAATAGCGTTTAATCAAGTCTGCACCTAGATTCCTAGTTGTAAGTCAGATTTCAGCTCTTTATCACATAATTACAGAATTACTGATGCAGGATGATTAATCAATCCTGGGAGTTTTTCCCCATTTAATAAAAATTATAAGAACTTTATAAGAACTAGAGGTCTTTCCATCTGGGTTTAAGTCTCTCCACAATACGGAATCAGCCTTGTTGAAGGTTCTAGACCAGGAGTGGGGAACCCTGGTCCTCGAGGGCTGGTATCCTGCATGTCTTTGCACCAACACTTCTGATTCAGTGGTTGGTTCACCTGTTCTGCAGCTCATCAAGCTCTACATAAGCTTGTTAATCACCTGCTGATTGAAATCAGGTGTGATGATTCAGGGTTGAAACTAAAATATGCTGGATAGCGGCCCTTGATGGACCAGGGTTCCCCACCCCTGTTCTAGACCAAGGGTGCCCAATCCTGGTCCTGGAGGGCCAGTTTCCAGCAGGTTTTAGTTTTAACTCTGCTTCAACACACCTGATTTCAATCAGCAGGTGATTAGCAGGCTTCTGCAGAGCTTGGTGAGCTGCTGCACAGGTGATTGAACCGCAGAATCAAGTGTGTTGGAGCAGAGAAACCATTAAAATGTGCTGGATACCAGCCCTCCAGGACCCGGATTGGGCACCCCTGTTCTAGACGCTATGCTGATTCTGGAAACTCAGTGGTTTTAGAACTTTTAGACTTAGCAGCATTTAACACAGTGGACGATTAGATCTTGATTGGCCGATTGGAACACTGACTGGGAATATCTGGCTTGGCACTCCAGTTGTTTAGGTCTTATTTTTCAGGGAGGACTTTCTGTGTAAAACTAAGGGATTGCTCATCTAACATGGCTTATTTGCCTTTGGGAGTATCCCAGGGATCCATTCTAAACCTCCATCCTCTTCTCCCTCTATCTGCTGCCAATGGGTGAC